CATAAGGAATGTAAGGAAAATCTTTCCTAAGAACTTTTCTTATTCGTTCAAAGAAACGAGTTGGTAAGCCATCTATAAATTTAGCTTTCCAAGAAGAGCTATTACTTTCGGTAATTCCATGACCCTTGATAAGAATGAATCTTTATACCATCTAAAAGAAGTAAGTGTTTTACACTTAAAATTATTCAACAATGTTCGAATATTTTCTTGATTATTAGTAAATTTTCCAGAAAAATGTTCTAATATAGATGCTATCAAAGTATATACTGCATCTTCCATCATAATGGGTGTAGATGTTCCTTCATTCTCAATTTTCTGTATTATAAATTTTTTGTCTATCATTTTCAGTTAAATAATTATCCCACCATCCTTTAAGGACACCAGTAAAACCACAAACAATCATTTTCGCGATTGCCTGATCTGTATTACCATTTGCTTTTGCAACTGAGGAGTACATTAACATCCTATGCACCATATTGGTTAATTGCCTATCAGTAAATGCGTCACAATTCCATTCATAAACAGAACGACTACTATAACTATTATTAGTTTCTTGATGTTCTTCATAAAGAAGATCTTGTGGAGAAGGTCGAGGGTAATAATAATGATTCATATATGGTTTATTAGCAAATTTATTATGTCTAGATTTATTAGAAAGACGATTTATTTCATCTCTTAGAGTTTTATCAAAATCTTTCTGTATATTCTCAGAAAATTCTAAAGTGGATAATTTAAGATTTTTAAATTTTTCTTCTAATAATTTTTCTAATATATGTGGAGATTCAAGATTATAATCTTTTACTATAGGAGGAGGCTGTATAAAATTTTGTATTTTAATATCCTTATTTTTGTTTTCGATCAAAACCGGTTTAACTGTTTGTTGAAGATTGTTTATAAGAGAAAATAATTTGTCAACTTTTTCATGTAAAGAACTAATTTGTTCTCCTAAAATTTTTACATATAAATTTGTATAATTATTTCGCTGAATAAATTTATTTACTAGAGAAACAGTAGAAGGTAAAACTTCACTTTCAACTAATTTTTGAAAGGCAGAAAAAGTTATATGAGTTGCATTTGTTAAAACAAATTCTTTTTGTGGAGGGTAAATTCCTTTTGTAATTTTTCCATCTGCAAGATGATATTCTCTTTCAAGGAGGAAAATATATTTATCAAGATAAGTGATTATAAACCACGGAACAAAATATATTATTTGATTGTGAAAAGAAGCATATTCATAAAATTCTTTTTGTATAAGTTTTTGATTTTCAATATCATAAGTAGAAAAGAACCATTCTCTGAAAAGTTTCCACTTTTCAGATTGAAATTCTTGTCTTATTATTTGTCTAATATTAGATCCTGGACTAAAATCTAATTTTTCAGTATTCGCCATGGTAACCCATTTCAGAAGGTGAAGGCATATCCTTATCAAATGTCTTACTATCAGCAGACCGAACAATATTATATGGATCAATTTTTACTTGATTTATTCTATTTGTTAGATCTATTTCAGGAATCGAAGATGTCGAAAATTTATGAGAATCGACTGGATCTATATAAGATTTAAAAGATGTTTGAGAGATGGATCTTAGTAATTTAGGAATTTTTGGTTTATCAAAAGTAATATTTATCTGACCATTATCAGATTGTTCAATTTCTGTAACATTACAACTTGTAACATTATGAGTTAATGAGTTTCCTTTAATTCCTTTATTAATTTGCCAAGACTCTGGAAATTCAATTTCTTCCCATTTAATAGTTTTACGAGTACTAATTTGAGATTTATAAAAATTAGTTTCTATTAGTATGGTTTCATCAGATGGTTTACTTATAATCTTACATCTGGGTGTTAAGGTATTTAATAATTTAAAACAAATACGGTAATGTAAACAAATAAGTTCACTTCCGGTAAATAATTATAACCATGTAATTTTACATTTAAGGTTAAAGCATCTAGTATATTAACATCGACAATGATAATGTAAATTTGGATAAACATTAAAATAAACTGGACCATGAGCTAGGTGGATGTATTATGCCCATTAGGGATTTTTCCAATGTAAATTTCTACCATCACGTAAGGCAGCAACAAAGATTCAGTAAACCTTCTAAAGTTAAAGGTTTAAATGCAATTTGCACCAATCCAATATGCATGAACTTATAATTTTTATGAGATCTATAAGATTCAATATCTGTAGCAGATAAAAGTTGTAAAACCCTTTCATCAGAATTTAAAGCAATTGATTGTTCAGTAGTTTTAACTACCTGTTTAACCAAGTATCGATCAAACATACCATATTCATACAAAGTATTAGTGGGTACCTTTGGTATTGACCATTTATTAAGAAGAGCAAGCTGTTGAGGCATATCGTATTCCTCTTGAACTGAATTTTTTATTGAAGTACTTTCTAAATTATTCATTTTAAATTAGGTTCTGAATCAAACAAATCTTTTGTAAACATAAAAAATACATAACCGCTCTGATACCAAATTGGCGTGGGGTGGGGCACGGCGGTGCTTATCTTAGCCGGTAAGACCGAGCAAACAGACGAGCAAGGAAACCAGGCCGGAATCCAAACCACCACCCCTGGCCGATACCATTCATCCGGAGCTATGCCTTGTCACCAGCTACAGGATCAAAATCTCTATCCATCCTTAATTAAAATATCAATGATCGAGATGCATGGAAAAGTTTCACCCAACTCTCAAGCCTGTCTGGAATTCACAACTTATTGTGCATCATGTGGCCTCTTTTTCCCCTTAAACAATTCATCATAACGGGTACTTTTCTAGCCCAATGCACTTATTGTTGAGTTTTCCGACTGAACTCGGAATTGGAACCAATCTCAAATCATTGTATTTTAATTAAAAGAGAAGAAGGAGATAGAGCTTCCATGTATAATTTATGTAAACAAAAGCCAAATGTTTGATTCAGACAAAGTATTTACTCAGACATTGTCTGAGTACTTCAAACTATAACTTAAAACAAACTTAAAAGAAAATATTACCTTTAAAGGCTTCTTCTATGCTTCAAACTTGAAAGATATATTTATTGAAGGGTTTCTTTACAAGGGAGAGAGAGAGAATTTCGAAATAAAGGGAGAAGAAAAGAGAGAATGCTTGGAGAGAAACATAAAAACCATAAAAACCATCAGATGTTCCAGAGATTTGAAGGCATTTGAAACATAAAAACCATCCATGATTTTCAAGCATGTAGTTTAAGAGTTAAAATAGTCATCAAGTTTATTTATTTATTTATTTTAAAAAAAAGCTTTTCTACCTGTGTGGTGTGGAAATGTGCCATTAAATTTGACATCAATATCATGACCGAAGACATGAGAAAAAAAGGGAAAACTTGCCCATACACAGGAAAATCAAATGATTGCAGTTGAAGTTCAAACCTGTCTCGTATGAAAAACCGAAGACTTATGGTTAATAACTTTAGTTTGAAAAACAATATTCCCTTCGTTTTAAAATAAGTTTCATTCTAGAATTTACTCGCAGTTTAAAAAAATATTAATATAGTTATTAAATTACTAGAATATCCTCAATTAATTCCATTAAAATAAATACTCACTAATAATATTATTTTTTTTGCAGGTATATTTGAAAATTTTTTACAAAAAATGCATTGAAATCTAAAAACGACACTTATTTTAGAATTTTTCCATTTTGATGAACGATAGTTATTTTAAAATGAAGGGAGTAATAAAAAATAACGAAAAAGTGAAAAAGAAAAAGTAAACCCCAACAGCGTCCAATTCATAAAGTTGAAATGGTTTAGCGCCGACTTAAGGAATACCTCCTAGATGACGTCGATGGTGCACAATTTTATAATTCGCTAATGAGAAAAGCTGAACAACTAGATGATTGTAAACAACAATTATTTCACAACAATTATTTCCAACGACAAGTTTTTTTCCTTAAATATATTTCCTTATATATATCTGGACAAAAATAAACTTTTCAAAAATTTTGTGGACAAACTTAGATGTCCTGGATTTAGGAAATCCGAGTGGGGATGAAACTCGGATTTCGGAAATCCGAACCTCAATAAACTCGGATTATAAAAATCCGACTTTGTGTTACGTAAATCTGATATTAAGTTAATGACAGAAATTAGTGTAATTAATCTAAATCCAGATTTTATAAATCCGTATTTACGAATAAAATATTAATTTCCGGATAGAGAAAAAAATATGTGTTGAAAAATTAAATTTGGAAAAAACCGGATCACAATAATCCGAATATACGTAGATTCGGATTACCGAAATCCGAATCTCCTCTGTTTTCTGAAAAATGGTGACTCTCAGTTGGCTACAGACTCGGATTTCCGAAACCCGAATCCTTTACAAAAAGTCTGAGTTCGGATTTCGCAAATCCGAGTCTTTGTCAGAACTGAAAAAAAAAATTGGACTGGTGAAACTAAACTTGTTTACAGCACCAACAACATGAAACATTGGAAAACAGAAATTTAATGGAAACAAAACAATAAACGGCATTTGATTAACAACAAAACAAATCAAGTTTCATACCAAAATCAATACAAAAACTACTTTAAATGTGTAAAATATATCAAATGTCTCATTTTTTTCCTTTTCCTTTATTGTGCGCATCCGGAGTGTATTTGTTTGGGCCCTGCCGGATCCTGTCTCCCCTCTTAAGATATGTGAGTATTGAACTCTGTTGTGGTTACGACTGCCCACCAAACTGAGCCTCGGGTTGGGGTTGGGATTGGGACTCCCCCATGGTGAGAAATTTGACTCCCGGTTGTGGTTGCGACTGTCCACCAAACTGAGTCTCGGGTCCACCAAGGTCAAACTGAGTCTCGGGTCCACCAACGTCTTCAAAATGAGTCTCGACCTGGATGCGCGAGCCTCGAGAAGAATGTGCTTGATCCTCATTTTGTTAACCCTCAGTATGTTGTTGCGTGTCCGAGGGGGGATTGGGACCTTCCTCTTTCTTCCTCCTCCAATCTTATCTCTTGACTACGGTTTCGCTTTTTAACTCGGCGGAGGTTGTGAGGGCAAACATGGATCTTCATCAACCAGGATTTGGGTATCCTCCACCTCCATCTCATCATTTGCGCCCAGGGTTAAAGCAGCATATGTTTGATTGATGATATCGTCCAAATGCTTGTCGAGTTCTTCGTCTAGGAGATTCTCATCTTCTCGTTTTTCTCTAAACTTCTCGGTACTCACACAAATGTTGTTCAATACTTCACCCTGAAAAGAAATTGGGACGTTAATTAAGAGATTAAAATTCTAAAAAAATAAAAATAAAATAAAAATAAAATGAAAACATAAGAAATAATAAAAGAAATATAGAATGAACTCACATATAATTTCACGCGGCTCGAAGAAGTCTCGTATCCTTGAGGTTCATAATTACCGGGATTGGATATCAGTCTGACAGTGTTCACCATGAACCATTCATAGTACCCCTCATATACGGAACCAGGATCTCCTTCCTCCAAATCTCGTAGCACGTACTCTTCTCTCCTATTCCAATGACGACGTACTGCGGAATGGTGGTCCACCCAATTATTGCTAGGATACCCAGACATACTGTGGGCGTGATCGAGAAGGAATGCTGCATTAACTTTAATCATAGGGCGCTTGGGAACATCCTCTATGTATCCAAATTGTCTTACGACTCTGCCCGACTCGTGGGGTTCCCTAATAGCCCAACAAAACATCCAAAACCTGGGTCGTCGAAATGGCTTGGCCTTGTGTACAGAAATCAGGAAGTCTATGAAGGACATGTGCATATGGTTGCCACCGAAACTACATGAAAAGAATTTCATTAGATGGTACAACCGGAACGAAAAGAAACTCAAAGTGAATATAAATACCAAATTACAAGTACTTACATCTTCAACACGCAGGCTTGTTAATTGATCTCTAAAAGGTGGGGTGCTGCTCCTTGGGGCGTCGTCGTAGGTGTACCTACATTCCCACCTTAATGAACAAAGGGGTACATTTGAATTAGTGAAAAGAATGAATAAGAAACAAATAGAAATAAACATTGAGTTATTTTGAACTAAAAATATGTACCGCTGAGCTAATGGAGCGGTCTCATCAATCAAATAATCTACTCCTTTTCTTTGTGGCACGATCCTCTTGAACCGCTCATACGCCCATACCTAGTAAATTGCAATAATAATGTTAAAACTTCAAATTATAACGTCGAAAGCGGAAAATAATTAAAACACAAATTGAAAACTAATACCTACCTGTAGCAAATATAGACACCCAGTGGCGTCGTGCATGGTGTACTGTGATTCCTCGCACAGTCTAGAGTACAAACCAGCCAGCAGTGTCGATCCCCAACTGTATCGACTACACTGATCCAAATCCTCAACATGGGCCAAGAACTACAGATTGACAGTGTTTTGCCTCTTGTTAGGAAACATGAAACTGCTAATAAAATGAAGTATAAGTGTCCTGGCCCTTTGCTCGAATCGATGGATAGTGGAATTCTCAAGTAGTACGCAGCCCATCTCATCTTCGAAAATACCAACATTGACACATTGGCCATTTACTTGGGCTGGCCGGGATCCCAAATAAGCCTCACATCGATCCCGCCATTCATCTCCAGTTAGGCTAACTGTCGTCCCATACACCGGGTCACCATCCACCCGAATACCAAACAGGACCTCGACGTCCTGTAGCATCACAGTCGCCTCTCCGAAATTGAAATAGAAAGTGTGGGTTTCTGGCCTCCACCGTTCCACCAACGCGGTAATAAGACCGAGATCTACTCTTTTGTAGCCTACTTTCATGATCCCCTCAAAATCGGCTCTCTTAATGACTTCCTTAACCTCCGGTGCTGTATTTTTGTATATCCCCCAAAAATCGCTGTCGTATTTACGGCCCTTGAGGCGGAATGTTTTAATGTCTGGTATTTTGTTCTCATAGACAGCTTGGAACCGATGCTTTGTTTGACGCTATAGCATTTTATCTTGTATAGGTCCCGGGTAAAGATGTTTAGGTTGATAGTCATATTGCGAGCCCGATGCCGGCGTCGCCATTTCAATCCTACACAACGTAACCAATACGGCTTTCAATCCAAATATGCAAAATAATGATGCACTAACCAAATACCATATACATTCGGCCAAAAAAACAATTCAACCAAACCATATACATTCGGCCAAATAAAAAAAACTACCAAACCATATACATTTGGCCCAAAAATAATACTAATACAACAACAATCCAAACACTATATCCACACCACTAACATTCACAATTCACAATTCACACAACTATACAACACAATTCACTAATCAATACAACACAAACCAACAAAATTCACTAATCAATACAACACAATTCAAAATAAACTAAACCACAACAAAACACATTTGGAAAAAAAAACACATTCGGATTTCACAAAGAAAAAAATATTTGACAAAAAAAAAATAAAGAGAGAAAAACTTACACCAAAAGGAGGGAGTCGCCGGTGGGAGAGAAGGAGTCCCGTGGGAGAGAGGGTCGCCGGTGGGAGAGATGGAACCGGAAGGAGTAGCCGGTGGGAGGAGGGAGTCGCCGGTGGGAGAGATGGAACCGGAAGGAGAGAGGGTTTACGGTGGGAGGAGGGAGTCGCCGGTGGGAGGAGGGAGTTGCCAGTGGGAGGAGGGAGTTGTTAGGGTTTTTTAATTTTTAGAATTGGGGGAAAAGTGGGAGGGGGAAGAGTTGACCGGGAATATATAGTCCCGTCAAACTCGGATTGCAACTCCCTGTTTCTCCTCAAATTGCAACTCTCGGATGGGTTTCACCAATTCGGATTTTTGAAATCTGAGTCCTTTACAAATTCAAAAAAAAAGTCTGAGCTCGGATTTCGGAAATCCGAATCCTTTCGAAAACCTTAAAATGATGAGTATTTTGCACAATCCCAAAACCTGTTATGAAAAACTACTACATATTTCATCACACTTTACAATCCGAACAATTCATTGTTCATATTACAATCCGAATTTATCAATGTTAACATAAATTTATCAAACACTAAATGACTCTCAATTCCAGCTGTCATTCACAGGTCTTCTATCTACTCCTGGGTGCGAGAACGGACAATAATTGGCATCACGACCTTATTGTCCACATCTCCAACATTCCCCCCGGCTCCGGCATCCCCTGTAATCCATTTACATTCTATGTCTCCTTTTTTGTCTTCGTCCCGGTCCCGCATGCAACACAAGACGCTCATAATTCGGAATGATGTTCCAATTGACCATTGGCCATTGTTCCTCACCGGGAACCGGAACAAAGCTCGTGTAATCAAATTGTCTGCACCACGTTGGAAGGCGCCACACACTATGGTATAGATCAATAATAGGTCAATCCCCTTTTCTCCGACAAACTTGGAGTGCGTGCGTACAAGGCATCCAGTACTCTTGCCACTTCCTGCACGAACACCTATGTTCATCGTAGTTCACCGTATGCAAAAAGACCCACCCCTGCCACTCAGCCGTGTTGCAGTAACAACATGCCACATAGCATCATCACCATCAAAAGGGGTGGCTTCAAAACTGGCTGCTTTGTCGTTCATTTCTCGTATTTTTTCCATAACTCAGGAGGGATCGGTGTCATGCAATTTCTCGCAGACAATTGTTCTTCTCTGTAGAATTTAACAGTTTTGCGAAAGGTTGCATCGATCAAGGCTCTAATTGGTAAAAAACGGATCCCTTTCAATGCATTGTTGTAACTCTCAGAAATGTTGGTTGTCGCTATGCCCCAACGGCGAAGACCGGCTTTCAATCGAGCCCAGTTACTCCCTCCAATCCCTTAAAGATACTCCCATGCAGCAGGTTTGAATTCAATATGCTCTGCCCTCATACTGTTGTATTTCACTCTTGAAAGCGTCGTGCCCATCTTCCAACATAACCGCTTCACCTTTTTGCTATTATATCGCGACACAAGATTGCTGCGAACGTGGCGGAGGCAAAGAAAGTGGCCACCATCACCTAAATCACGCCATTCATCCATCTATGACATTGCGCTCAACAACCCTGCATTTCGGTCGGATATCACACTTACGATTCTATCATACACAACCTACAACCTCAAATTCCTCATAAAAAATGTCCAACTCTCTACTGTCTCCTCATCCACAATCGCAAATGCAACCGGTAAAATGTGCTTGTTTGCGGTATAGACCACTGCAACAAACAATTTACCCTTGTATCCACCACGCAAAAAGGTTCCATCGAAACAAATGACGGGTGGACATTCAAAAAACGTCTCAGCCACTGGTGCAAATGACCAGAAGACGTATTTAAATGCCCTATTTCCCCTGTTCCAACCTTCTTGTCCCTCCTTCCATTCCTACTCTACTACAGTCTCAGGCTTAGTAAACTTAAGCGCATCGATATACCTATACAACAACAAGTCATTGTTAAAATATTTCAATACATGTAAAAAAAAAACACTAAAAATATTTTAATACACGAATAAATCTTGATATTTACCGTGGAAGTTCTTTGAAATTCGAGGTCCAATCACCATAGACCGCTTCTATGGCTTTCCTCCTCCCGTGCCACGCCCTTTTGTATGGCACATCTACTTTCAATAAGGTCTTCATATCTTTCTGTGCCGAGGCTACCGTATAATCTACATTGTCCTCAACCTTTCTCCTGATGAGTCTAGCAATCAAAGAGGCGTCCACACACCGATTGTCATTATCATTCACGGGAGTCATGCAATTATGTGCATCATGCCATCTCACAATTTCATGAAGGCCGTGAGCTTTCAAAGACACACGCATCTTCCACTCACATGGTGGTTCACCATCCTCACTTTCCACATTAAATGTTCTGCACCCCATAGCCCACGTCCTTGGACTACTCGCAGTGACTGTGTATTCCCTTTTATGATGGATGTTCCATAATTTCACAGCATGCTTTGCTTCTGATTGAGATTTGAAACAAACACCAATGTCCATTCCTTCGGGCCTCTCATCCCACATCTTAAGAGCAAACTCATCCTTGTCCACAGATGAGGCATCTCATTTCCCCATCTTACTATATACATGGCGTCGGGGCAATGAATTACAATCCCTTTCCTCATTTTCCAACCTTTCATCATCACTTTTTTCAAAATCACTCTCTCCGGAGACATCACAGTCTTCTTCACTTTCACTTGGAGCTATGTAGTCGGAATTCGACTCTTCCCGGCAGTCATCTTGTGCAAATAAAGGTGTCTCTTCTTCATCACGGTTTCGAGAAGTATTAGCACGTTCCCCCCTTAGAAAACCACCAAATGACACGTTTTCCAAACTCGCTTCTCTTTCTTCTTGAGTGATATCTTCCAAATCTAAGTATAAATCCAAACATGACATTGGATCTACACGGTTCATGAACTCTACATGCGAATCATTCTTGATCTTCACTACACGCTGATAATGGTTAAATTGTTACATAAAAGCATCACACTTAACTTTGTATTTGATGAACAATTGGGGGTATTTCCTAACATTGGTGCAATTTACTTAGCTCATTTTCATGTTATTGTTAGGAAAGGACCGGACTGAATAATTGCTCAAAATTGGAAGTCAAAGGAGCAATTTATGGACTGCCGAGGCAAGGGTGCTGAGCTGGACGAAGAAGAAGGGCCTTAGACAAGAAGCATCTTGTCATTAATGGCCTTGCCTCCTCCTAAAGGCATGCTTGTCCCCCAGCCGCACTCCCAGCCACCACTGCTGATCAATGAGAGCAAAACGACTGCTGCTGGAAGAGAGAAAAGGAACGGCCAAGTTGGATTGCAGGCTCAAGACATTGGGAGGATTAAAAAACTCCAAGCATGGGGAGGTTCTCATGATGAAGACACCGGCTGCAAGGCCCTATAAGAGGGGGAACTGCACTCTCAAAGGACATACACCTCAGTCTCTGGTTAGCTTCTTAGTTGCAAAAACACTCAGAAAAACTCCAGGTAGAAGACAAGAAGAAGAAGTAGCAACAACTCAGTGAGGAAGCGAAGTTGAAGAATAGCAACCCAGTTTCTTCTTCAGTTCCACGAGTGAACCCTTTCACTCCCAGGAGTGACTCAGAAACTGCACAAGCTTCCTTCTCATCTCTTGACTGTTAGCTTGAACTTTGTTTATTATGCATACTTCTATGATGTCTTTTGATGTAGTAGATGTAGCATTTATCTGTATGAGTAGCTAAACAGTTCCCAGGGTTATTCTCCTCAACTGATGTTGTAGTTGTCAAGCATTGGTTTTGTTCCTTGTTTTATGGTTGAAAGTTTTTCTACATTCATTTACTTGATCACTAAATTGAATGCATGCTAGAACTAAGGGAGATCTGGAAGGATAAACTTGGTTTGGATTGTTTCAACTTTAACTTATGACATAGAGGTAACAGTCTATGGTTTTAACTAAGATAGGAATATACTTAGTTAACATAAGCATTCTTGAAGGCCTAAGAACTTAATGACTTTGTAGCTGGAATCAATCATTGGAAAATAGGTTGTTAAGGGTGCAAAGATGACTCTAGGAAAAATGGGAACTGACTTAGAGTTATAAGTGAGCTGAATGAACAAGAACTCAACCTTTACTGTGCTAATAAAACAACTACAACAGCAGGAAGAGGAGAAGAACACCCCTGGCCTTCATTCCCCTGAGTGACTGTTTTCATTCTCCTGAGTGACACCTTGTTGACTGACAGTTTTTCTTTACAACAAATTTGGTAATTAGCTGTCCTCGTGGGATCGACCTAACTTCCATTATCTACAAAATTCATAATCCAAGCTAGTAATATTTATCTTTATTTTTTGGTGAACTCGGCAAGCACCACACGCCTACCACTGGGACTATCGAAAATCAAAGAAAGGTGGAGTTTCACGTGTGCTGGATCCCAACCAAGTGTCATACAAATCTTACTAATCAATCCTTCATATAACAACCTTTCTTCAACAAACAAACCATCATCCGCCATATTCAAAAAAGTGTTGATGCTACCGTTCTCTATCACATACTTACTTGTATGATACAAATTAAGCATGTATGATACATTACGTGCTATTGATAACTGTTAAAAAAAAACATCAATAACTAATCATTTCTTAATAACAAAATTAACAAATACACCATACATACTCCATTCATAATTCAAAAAACCTATAAAATACTAAAATACTTATAAATCAACTTCGATATCTCATGAACAACTATGATTTCTCATCTCTAACCTCAAAATCAACACCTAAAACATCCAAACAACCAACCAACATAAACCCTAATCTATCATACATCATTCTAACAATCAAAATAACACAAAAATAAACTAAATAACATGGTTTTGTAATCTAACCTCTTTCAAATAATGATTCCCACGTATCTAGAGGCAAGAATGCATCAAAAGCTCCAATTCGCCCTTGTTTGAGCTGCAAAAATAGAAAATCCAACTCAGTTCTCGAATGAGAACTGTCTGAATTTTTTTTTCTTTTATAGCACGTTAAACTCGGCTTTATGAAATCCGAGTCCGTAAGTAACTCGGATTTTCGAAATCCGAATTACATTAGCCTCGGATTTCATGAATCCGGATTTGGTCAATTCCAGATTATTTTATTCATTTTTTGGTCCTCCAATTTATGGAAATGCCTACTTCCACCAACCAAAATTAAAGGCAGTCGGATTTCCAAAATCCGAATTTATAAAACCGGATTACGGACTTCCGGTTTTTGGATTCAAAAATTTCGCGCCGCGATTTTTTTTTGCTTTTTTTCTTTTTGTACACTCGGATTTTTAAAATCTGAGTACTACTGTTCATTTAAGGAGTCCAGCTCCTAGACTTCTTATTTGAGTTCAAATTTTTCGTGCCTCAATTTATTATTTTTTAATTAAATTCAGATTTCGCAAATCCGTCCGGCACTGTTCATTTAAGAATTTTTAAAAGACTATTATTCAACAAAATTTATTTAATTATTATTTTATTATTAAATATAGACTCGGATTTCCAAAATCCTCAAGGGCCGTAGATACGACAGCGATTTTTGGGGGATATAAAAAAATACGGCACTGGAGGTTAAGGAAGTCATTAAGAGAGCCGGTTTTGAGGGGATAATGAAAGTAGGCTACAAAAAAGTGGATCTTGGTCTCATTACCGCGTTGGTGGAACGGTGGAGGTCAGAAACCCACACTTTCTATTTCAATTTTGGAGAGGCGACTGTGACACTACAGGATGTCGAGGTCCTCTTTGGTATTTGGGTGGATGGTGACCCGTTGTACGGGACGACAGTTAGCCGGAGGGCAGATGAATGGCGGGATCGATGTGAGACTTATTTGGGATTCTGGCCAGCCCAAGTAAATGGCCAATGTGCCAATGTTGGTATTTTCGAGGATGAGATGGGCCGTGCATTCCCTGAGAATTCCACAGTCCAATGATTCGAGCAAAGGGCCCGGACACTTATACTGCATTTTATTAGCAGTTTCATGTTTCCTAACAAGACGCAAAATACTGTCAATCTTCAGTTCTTGGCCCAGGTTGAGGATTTGGATCAGTGTAGTCGATAAAATTGGGGATCGACACTGCTGGCTGGTTTGTACTCTGGACTGAAGGAGGCATCACAGTACACCGTGCACGATGCCACTGGCTGTCTATATTTGCTACAGGTACGTATTAGTTTTCAATTGGTTTTATAATTGTTTTTTGCTTTCGACGTTATAATTTGAAATTTTAACATTATTATTGAAATTTACTAGGTACGGGCGTATGAGCGAATCGAGAGAATCGCGCCACAAAGAAAAGGAGTAGATTATTTGATTGATGAGACCGCTCAATTAGCTCAGCAGTCCGTATTTTCAGTTCAAAATAACTCAATTTTATTTCCATTTGTTTCTTATTCATCTTTTTTACTAATTCAAATGTACCCCTTCGTGTTTTTTCATTAAGGTGGGAATGTAGGTACACTTACGGAGACGCCCCAAGGAACAACACCCCACCTTTTAGAGATCAATTAACAAGCCTGCGTGTTGAAGATGTAAATACTTAATTTGGTATTTATATTTACTTTGAATTTCTTTTCGTTCCGGTTATACTATCTAAATAAATTCTTTTTTCGTGCAGTTTCAGTGGCAACCATATGCAAAGGTCCTACATAGACTCCCTGATTTCTGTAAACAAGGTCAAGCCATTTGGACGACCAGGTGTTGGATGTTCTGTTGGGCTATTAGGGAACCCCACGAGTCGGGCAGAGTTGTGAGACAATTTAGATACATACAGGATGTTCCTAAGCGCGCTATGATTAAAGATAACGCATCATTTCTTTTCGATCACGCCCACAGTATGTCTGGGTATCCTAGGAACAATTGGGTGGATCACCATTCCGCAGTATGTCGTCATTGGAATGGGAGAGAAAAATACGTGCTACAAGATTTGGAGGAAAGAGACCCTGGCTCCGTATATGAGGGGTACTATGAATGGTTCACGGTGAATACTATTAGGCTGATATCCAATCCCAAAAATTATGAACCTCAAGGATACGAGACTTCTTCGAGCCGAGTAAAATTATATGTGAGTTCATTCTATATTTTTTTTATTTCTTATGTTTTCCTTTTATTTTTTTTAATTTTTTTTTTGAATCTTACTCTTTTAATTAACGTCCCAATTTCTTTTCAAGGTGAAGTATTGCACAACATTCGCGTGAGTTCCGAGAAGTTTAGAGAAAAACGAGAAGAAGAGAATCTCCTAGACGAAGAACTCGACAAGCATTTGGACGATATCATCAATCAAACACATGCTGCTTTAACCCTGGGTGCAAATGATGAGATGGACGTAGAGGATACCCAAATCCTGGTTGATGAAGAACCATCTTTGCCCTCACAACCTCCGCAGGGTAAAAAAGCGAAACCGTGGTCGAAAGATAAGATTGGAGAAGGAAGAAAGAGAAAGGTCTCAATCCCCCCTCGGACATCGCAACAACAAACTGAGGGTCAAAAAAATGAGGATCAAGCACATTCTTCTCGAGGCTCGTGCATACAGGTCGAGATTCAATTTGAAGATATTGGTGGACCCGAGACTTAGTTTGGTGGACAGTCGCAACCACAACCAGGAGTCAAATTTCTCATCATGTGGGAGTCCCAATCCCAACCCCAACCCGAGCCTCAGTTTGGGGGACAGTCACAACCACAACAGAGTTCAATACTCACGTATCTTAAGAGGGAGACAGGATTCGGCAGCACCCAAATAAATACACTCCTACTGCGCATAATAAAGGAAAAGAGAAAAAATTAGACCTTTGATATATTTTGCACATTTAAAGTAGTTTTTGTATTGATTTTGGTTTAAAATTTGATTTGTTTTGTTGTTAATCAAATGCCGTTTATTGTTTTGTTGTCAT